ACTATGTATATTTTATTTTGAAAATAGATGGATCAATTCAGGAGTCTTTACGACGGTAGATGGAAAAATATATTAGGTAACTGTAGACCGCAGCAACGGCTTCAAAGAAGAAGAATTTTATTCGCTACAGACGATGCAGTAGCATGAAATAATTAATTGCAACTTGTATCGACGACTGTTATGTAAAAATTTAAATTAACTCGTGCATCTGTTTCATAAACTTTAATGAAAGTGTATCAAGAAAATGAGGAAATACAATAATTTTGGCACATTGAAAAACGAGTATTTTGGCCAGTCTGGTTCTGTTTCGGCCCACTTTGATCCGTTTGGCCTTGTTTCGGCCCACTTCGGTCCGAAATAGTACCAAACGGGCCGAACCGCATCAATCTTATTATCTAGTATCTATTATTTATTATTTATTCTACCTTTTTATAATCATCTAAAACGTTTAAAAATATATCCTCGATTTTCATCAATCATGTATATCATGTACCATCTATATGATAGAAATTTTTGTTTCGTTGTTTCATAATACTTCACGTAATAGATCTGCAATTTTCAGTTCCGTAACATGCCAATACCCTATCCACCATGTCATCTATAGAAAAGAATTAAAAATTTTTAATATGAAGAAGATACCTAAACTCGGCAACAATATATCACATTTAAGAAATGGAAGGATATACAGGCTTAATAGGTATTGCGATAAACGATGCCTTTAGTGTATCATTATGTTATTAAATCTGATTACTTTTAATGATAAAATAATTTTAATAGTCTTCATTTATTGTTAGGCTTACCAACAACTGGTCAGTCTCCGATTAATTTGGACGATCGATTGGTACGAAAGAGGAAGTTCCCTCCACTTGTCATGAACGGTCACTGGTTAAACGATGGTGAAGCACGTTTGACAAATACCGGCTCTACAGGTAATGACACTAGTAACGTAGACCAACTTTAGCATATGTATATGTATACAACTCTTTCATAAATTCATAAAATCTGCAATCGTATAATAGTTGCATATTTTTAAAATGTATAAAATCAATATAATTGCTTGTAGCTAGTCTCATATATGCTTTTGTGTTTAGCCAAAATTACGTTGACCGGTGACAGGCTCCCGTCAACGATTTGCGGCGGTCCACTTGCAGACGATGTGTACGAATTTTCATCAGCGCATTTTCACTGGGGCGAAGACAATTGCAAGGGCGCGGAGCACACCATCAACAATACATGGTAAAATAGAAAACTCAGTAAATGAATTCTTAGCCGATGTGTTTCAAATTACACAAATTTTTTTATTGATTTAGGTATTCGATGGAGAGTCACGTGATACACTGGAATCGGAAATATCAGACTTACGAGGAATGTTTCAGGCATAAAGACGGATTCTGCATATTAGCGTATTTATTCTTGGTATCTGTTCCTACTTTCTGTTTACTAGTACTTTTAATTCATCTCGTGTCGCGCATTTCTTATTACGAATACGCATAATTTCACACAAGGTGCAACCAGGTTGTTGCGGCTGCATTAATCCACAATTGGAGAGGATAACGGATCACTTAAAACATGTTCTGGACGTAAATATGGAAACAAAGATACCACCTAGTCAGAATCATCGTTAATTATTGTATTTCTATGTAACAATCTCTTTAATGATACACAGCAATTGTCGTCTATTATAGATTGCTTGTCGTGGATGCGATGGGCAACATACTGCTCCACCTACTATACTTATGCGGGATCATATAATGTCGGCGAGTTTCCGGAAGTTGCTACTTGGATCGTATTTCCTGTAGTTATACCGGTACGACCTAGTGAGGTAAGTTCGGATAACACTTGAAATATATGAACTAATCTAATTAGTACTAATTCGTAGCTGAACGAATTTCGGAAGCTGAGGGACAAGGATGGGAACCGGATAAAATCGAATACGCGAGAATTACAAATGCTCAAGTGCAGACAAATATATTTGGCAGTGCAGAATTAACATCGTACAAAATTCTTGAATCGCGTTTCTGTCAGTCTTTGTAACACGTTTAACGAAATATACAACGGAATAATATATTACAATTACCTTCCTTTAACATATACATAATAAAAATTAGCCATGAATTTGCAAGTTTAATAATGACTGTCTATTAAATTTAGTTAAAATAAACAAGAACAACATTCAAAACTGAACTACTTATTACGAATCGCGTTAACTTACAAAATTTCGCAAGATTTCTAAGATATTTTTATGATGTTTATTTATCACGTTCATTTAGATTGTTAAACGACTCAATGGACGCAAACACTCGTACTATTGTTTCTCCCAAAAGTTGATACATGCGAATAAAAAATATTTCCTTATAAGGGCGATCAGTCGGTATGCAAATAGAGATTTCGCTAGGCTTCTGAATCTCTTGAGTCTTTAAAAGCATACTAGATTTCTTCGATTCTTTCTTTCGCGGGGTGTCATCCTCGATGGACATGTCCAACGTTAGCGATTGACTAGTTTCTGAAACTGTATCAGAAATCTTCTTCGTCTCGCGTAAGAAACAAGCGTTCTTTGCCATTTCACTCTCTATTTCAAACAGGTTGAAAAACGAGCACAGCAAATAATACACCACTTCGTATTTGTTGGAACGAATAGGATTGTAAAGTGTCGGTTTCAAGCTCTCCTTATAAAGCCTTCCAAACTGTAATAACAGCTCGCTTCTCAATTCAGACTGCTTCATTTTTAGCAGAACTTCCCGAAGATCGGTTAATAGCATATTCCAACGTCGTTCCCTCTGATTCGTGGCATTGTAATACAACTTGTGAAACTCGATCAAAAGGGACGGATTGTAGTGGCACAACGGATTCTTTAGAACGAACTGTTCCTCCTCCAAGAATAAATTGCCATAAGCTGGTTCCGGATGCTTGAAGGACTCGATGTTATCCAAGATTTCATTCACTATTTCTAATACCACGGTATCTCTGACGCAACGGTCTAAATAACCATCCACCATTTGAATCGGATCGGATTGCAACATTTGAGGATCCTCCGTTTCGGCGCAACCCCAAAATCGGAATATCAATGGCGAACTACATAAAACCGGGTCGGTTATAAGTCTCCAATACTCAGTAGCGACGTGCGCGTTTCGTGGCCGGTACCAGATTTTCAATTTCACGATTTGTCCCGGTAGAAGCACTCCTGTTGTTTTCTTGAAGTAAAACGGACTTGTTCGATACCCTATGGGAAGTACATTAGAGTGATAGACCTTCGGTCGCCATTCGTATATGACCACGCGATCGCCTTTGTTCTTGAACCGGATTTCCAACTCCGTTCGCTTGTTCACTTTACCGGAAAATGTTAGACTCCACATAATGGGCTCGGAACTCTGATCGCTCGCTGTCGCGGATTTGTCCCAAACGATGTCGCGATCTTGAATCCTTAATACGACAATATTCTCAGGATAACACTCGCAACACGGGTCTTTCTCTAGTACTTCTTCTGTATTCTCCTCCTCTTCTCCCTCTCCTACGCGGGTTACCGTGATCGGGGGAATCCTTGGCAACTGTTTCGGTTTTTGCACAACGAAATTTTTGATCGCCAACTCCCTCATTTCCGGTTCCTTCGGCATGAGCAATTCTATTTCCCTGGACAACTCCTGCCTTCTTCTCATCAAATACTGACTACGTTTCCACAATGGTTCCTTAGACTTCATACTAGCCAGATCCTTCTCCTTCTCTGTCAGTGCAGGTAAATCGACGTATGTAAATTCTGGGATTACGTTCAGATCTTTTTTAGTCGGTACGAATGTGATGTCAGGTAGACACGGGCACGCAGCATCGCCTTTGTATAGCTTCTCTGGCGTTCTCCAAAATTCCGGTCCCCCTCGGTACTTATCAGGTATCACCGGTACCGGTACGTTCGCGTATTCCATCAGATTCCTCATCTCGACCTGCTCGCGTACTTTCTCGCAGGAATTCACGACTTGATCGACTTGCTGGCGGCCAGTCACGCTCTTGGTGTGCTCGTACTGCGCCTTCCGTCTTTGTAACCATTGTCTCCAGTTCACCAAACGGCTGTCTTCTGTGAAATTCGACTGTGGACTGATCAGCCCGTCGCATATGCGTAACAGCGCCGGTGGTTGTTTCACCCATTTTTTAGGCTCATCCGATTTACCGATCTTTCGTGCGTAATCCATGTGCTACGAGTAGAACTATCTACTATATACAAGTATGTATCTTATTACTTGAACTTGATTTCGATTGGATAAAAGTCGAAATTATTTAGCATGTGTAGCCCGAACTTCACTTGAATTAGAAATGAGTTCAACAGGTATGACACATTTAACCATTTTATTGAAGAATCTATCTTTTTATAATGCTCTTCATGCACTGTGTATTTTAGTGGAAGTGTTAGAGAACAAAGAGGAAAATGTTAAGTTGATTCAAACTTTATCTGACACCGACGGCACCTTAGAGGGCCCGATCGATTTAGACATTAATAATATGAAAGTCATGGAATTGGATCCTTTGGAATGGACCGATATCAGTACACCACCGAGGAAACTGAAAATTACTAACACAGGTTACACAGGTGATTCTTTCATTCAATTTCATTTATATAATTTCTGTAATTTATTGATAATTATCAATCGCAGTAATTCTCAGCGCTAAATGGCAGCAGGACATTCGTCCTTATATCTCTGGCGGACCTTTCACCGTAAATTACGTATTCTCACAAGTTCACTTTCATTGGGGAGAGAATGAAATGACAGGCAGCGAACATACCATCGATGGTGGGAAGTATGACATTTATTTTGAATCAAAGAAAAACATTTTGTAAGCAAAAAATAAATTTATAAAAAATGTAATCAATTAATTCAAAGCATGCCTATGGAGGTCCACGTTGTCCTCTTCAGAGACGAATACGAATCTCTGGAGTTAGCGCTCCGACGACCCAACGGCGTTTCCGTTATAGTATATTTTTGTAAGGTGTCGAATCAGAATACTTAATTTAATTCTATTGTTACATATACTATCATAAAAATCATAAATGAAGCTTGGCTGTTATTAGTTACAGAACGACCCAAATGACTTCATGGAAGAAATAGTAAAGAATTTGTTAGAAATTCGTACTACGGATTCGTCAGTTCGCATAGCCCCTTCGAGCTTAACTAACTTTCTGATACCCTTTACGGAGGACTATTTCTTATACTGGGGCTCCATTATAACAATAAGCAATATACACAGTATTCTTTGGTTAATTTGCAGAGAACCAATTGGTATTACCACGAGACAAGTAAACTGGAGTTAGATTTTTTTTTATATATGTATATTTAATTTAGTACATAATTGTGTCTATTAAGGTCGCAGAGTTTCGCAAGTTACACAACCAGTGTGGCGGGCCTATATTATCGAACGTACGTCAACGAAAACCCCTGCAAGGCAGAGACGTTTTCCACGTTTGTCCCTCTGGATCATTGTACGCTTCCCTTCTACCAGTCCCACGAATTTACGATCATGGGACATCCAGCTTGAATCGGAAAGGTACACCCAGCAATGAAGATGATGCTGTACATGACGTACAAAATCCTTGATATCGTTATACCAGTGATCGTTGAAAGCTATTTCTAGAAATACGTGTAAGCTATGGTAACTGAATAAATAATTGACACATAAATGTTGATACAAAAATTGATATATGAGAGAATTATTTCCTCCGTCTTCTGCGCCTTTTGACCCTTTCCTTGTTGAGATCGCAATTGGGATACAGGAGGCTACAATCGGCTCCGCCCAAGCCGAGGACAGAAGCTTTTACAGAATTCATCATTGCCGACCACGGAGATCCTTTTAACACCCTGCTGGACACCCAGCTCATCCCCAAACTAGAAACATCGGTTTAATACATCATTTCCCCCAATTTTTTAAATTAAAACGTCATGAACCTCGGTCGTTTCTATATTGCATATTTAGATATATGTATATTATTTTACCTCCAAACAGGTACCCAAATTTTACGTGCGTCCGCAGACTGCGTGGAACGGCGATTATTCTCGCAGAGAATTCTACGAATGCAATTCCCGGAATCTAAGTCAGCAACAAGGGCTCCCTCGATGCTTCGAAGAACGTGATAAGATAGTTCGTTCAACTCTTCTTCGCTCGCATACGACAAAGGTAACCCAGCGATATTCCTCTTGACACGTTGAGTTGTCATTGTAACCATAGTTGTGTTCATATTCATCTATATAATAAAACGTTAAAAATGTATATAATGTACTGTTTTGAGGGAAGTTTGTCGGTTCAGTGTACCGTGGCATTCATCAGCAGTTGTATAAGAAAACATCCGAAAGCCAGGAATGCGAGAGCTGTAAGCGCGATTTCGAAAAAATCTTTTATGGAGAGCTCGCTTCCCTTTCCCTTGTAATAGGGTTTGTGATCGTATTCTTCCATGTGTTCGTGATACATCGGTGCCTCGTAGTAGTGTTCCTCGTGTACTTCAGGAATAATTTCGGGATGATGTAAAAAGTGACCACCATCGTGACCATAAGCTTGACCATAAGCTTGACCGTAATAAAAATTTTGCCCCGACGAGGATGAGAGCATATGATCTGTTTAATAAACTCCGCTTTTAAAATACTTCTTTATTTCCGAATTCTATTGAAATTAATTTTACCATTTTCATCGCTATGCCCTTCGTATAAGCCAACCTTGCCAGAAGGCAGAGGAGCTTGCATCGCGAATCCCGTCACTTCCCCATCGAAATCGTTGAAATTGTCGTCACGGCCACCGTGCTTTCTCTTCATTTTCTTTTGCGGTGCGTAGTGACGATACACATCGTCCAGAGTCGTCCTCCTGTACACCAAATATACTTTTCAAGTTAGGAAGTTAATTCGCAGACACAACATAGTACACGCTTCATAAGTTTTGCAATGAGATCTTTCAATATTTACCGCTGCAACCAGTTTTTGTACTTTGAACTTCCCTCGTCGGCCAATAATTTATCGTGAACAGTAACGTTATCATCGTCCATTGAATTATATAGATCATTACTGTCTTCTATATTGAGCCGCCTTTTACTTCTCGGCGTGCTCACTATTTTCACTATTTCCTCAGCCATGTAACCATGACACAGATACTCGTTCATCTTTTTCCTAATGACACACACATTACGAATTCCATTTTAAAATACCATTTACACATTTTATACAATTTATCTAGATAATATTGATTTTCAGATTTACCTATGATAATCCATTTCGTTCAATGCCTTAAAAATGGTCCCATCCACAGCTGCATTATCAAAGCTTTGCGTTGTATTATTGATAACTTGTTGATCCGCAAACAGAAATGATCCAGGCAGTAGATCAACGGAAAGTATGTCCTCTTCGTTGATACAGAACTCGTTGCCGTCGTCGAAACATTCTTCAGCGGAATTCGTATAAACCGTAGATATAATCAAAATCCAGATTCTGGTAAAACGAATTTCTTTCAGCGAATTCATTTATAAAGAACGAAGAGTGTAAGCGTTCGTGCGAGCTGAGTTTCGTTACTACGTGAGAAATGCGGCACGAAGGAGACTGACAAAACGGAGACACGCTCTCGAAGACAAGCTAGATGTTCCTCTGCTAGAAATAATTGCCTTAACTGTACGTCTGTTTAAGTGACGTTAACACAGTTAGTTTTCATTTAACGAAACGAATCAATTAAATACGTCAACAAGTAATCTTGAAAAATAATAATAATGTATAAAATATCTACGAATTAAATTCAGAAAATATTTAAAATACTTTTATTGAATAATTTCCAAGACATGACGATAGTAAAATAGAAGTGTGTTTAATAAGCGATTTATAATCAGTTGTATTTCAACGGTTAAGATAAATATCCCACATGCAAACAGAATAGATTTTCCGGATACATATTTGAACACGTGTTTATAATCCCATATCAATCGGTGGCACTACCAGCCGATTTACACGTAACCAGACACCTATGATTAAATACGTTTATTAAAAACCACTTACGCCGCTCTTATGAATGTTTTAGGAGCGGAGGGTTTCTCGGGATGGCTTGGATAGGTCGGTGAGATGAGGTAATGGGGGCTTTGTTCCCTTGGGAACTCGCTCACCTGTCTAATATCTCGCGAGAGTGGCTATATCTGTACCCATACCAATAGCGACCATTTATATATGAAGGTTACTGAAAATTAATTACACACTCTTCAAAGAAACTGTAGCATCGCCAATTTCTCACACGCGTGCTCTCTTTAGTACATTAATTTTATGTACATTAAAATCTAAGCCTAATTACATGATTAATATTCTCCCTGGAAATAAAATTAAATTTGTTTTTTTTATTTCGTTTCCTAATTTTGTTATATAAATGACTTGAATTTGCTAATGGCTTTTGAAAGTAGTTTAATAAGCATAAATCAATTGGAGGATAACGTGACGAGTTTGAACGAAACACTGGGAACATTTGGAGTTTGAAACCTCGGGTGCGGCGTCCATAAAGTTTCCGCGTGTGAGAAACGTTCCACGGCAATTTGCGCGCGCGTTAGTACACCCTCCTTTTCTCAGGTGTTTGATTGATCGTTTCAATTACACCGCGCAGCGTGCATCAAACGCAAAAGTAAAGTACGGTATCTATGGGACGATCGGTCCATTCGAGTGTTTCGCTGAACTCTTCAACCGGTCGTATAAAAGTTTTTTGGAAAATCCGTCGAGCAGATAAATCGAGCAACACTTTTCAGCTTAATTAGTACGAAACGATGACCGATGCAATTTATGATACTATCAAGAGGAAGTGGCGATCTCTTTTTCAAATATTTTCAGAGAGATTTTAAGGGCTCGTAAAGGTTTCTCGGAAGATGGTTATCCGTGAAATTCCATGTTCGCAGACCTTGTCGTTACTTCCTCCTTTCACACCTAACGAAAACACGATGCACGGCATTTCGTTTCATGTAACCGGGACTCAATATTTGTTCTCCTCACTTGCACACTTAAATTCCTCGAGAATCCTCGTAAACGACACATAAAGAAAATCCGATATTCTTTTTTACGCGGACGTAGCTGTACCTTTATTGATCATTCGATATAATCAACGTTGGAACGTCCTCGTTCCTCTCGTTACGCGTTAACGTGTAAATCTCTTCAATGAATAATGGAACAGTTTTCATCTTTTGTACAGGAGCGAAGGGACTAGACATTGAGCGAGGAAACGAATTGATGATACGAGGTCGCGATGAAAAGTTCTCACAATCGCCATTGGCCCTTTACCAGTTGCAATGTTGAATTGAATAGATTTACGGTGGTGTAAGGATGAACATTGAGATTGCCACCGTCTGACCGGAAACTAATGGTACCGCTTCCTCCGAAAATACTCAGGGTTTCGTAAACAGAAACGGTGTGATTCGATGGAAATGAGCGGAAATCATATTATACTGATTATGTCTTTTATTATTAAAGATTATAAGAAATTTAATGTTTCCTTATAAAACGTATCATTCATCCCCATCTTCCATAATTTTTCTAATGATTATTGATTATGTTCCTTCAATGTTCATTCAGGATTACTTCATTTGGAGGTAATTTTTATTACGTTTTATTATGAAATTCTGCTTCTTGTTAAAAATATTCACCGGATACAGAAAAGTGTATCATGAGAACCACTGAACGGAGTTTAGTAAACGCGTGAAGAAGTATTTTGAGGTACTTTTTCACGGCGTTCTCCGTATGGCAGCAGCGTTTATCCATTGCGGAGGAGTATATGGGATAGAGAAGGAACCATTAGTTTGCTGACATAAAGCCCTGAAATAGAGGGGTCGAAGAAGGCGGACACTGTGGAAGAGCATGCGCTCCCTAAACCAATCCGAGCCTCGCGTTCTGATCCCTGTTACATTTTTTTTTCGGTGGATGAAGTTGGCTACTGCGCATACCATACAGGGTGATTCTTTTCCCAGCCGATTCAGAGGCATTGTGAGCATTTAAATAGCCGATAATGATTATCAAAAATGTATATACAAACTCCAAGCAGATAAAATTGAATGAAGGAGATGAAACGTCGCGATAGATGAACAAACGTAGTGACACTATCCTTAGATCTATTGAGAAAAAGGATCACCATGTATTATTAAATCAATTCAGCTTTTGTAATTTTTGTACAATAATTTATTTCAAGACTAGCAAATTAAGTATTTATTAATACTATTTATTAGATAACAGCACGTCTTAGATTGATGATGAGAGAAAAGAGGAAAATGAATCACGAGAAGGGAAGCTTGAAGATGTTTTAGGAGAAGAGTGCCCTATCGATTTATCGCGGTGTATGATAGTAAAGCAACGTTAAACCAGTGTGAATAAGCTTTTGACCCTACTCCGATCGGGTAACCGAAACGAGTGGGGGTTTCTGGCGCGAGATGTTAGTCCAGTATCGCGGGATGACCTTCCCTCAGGAACTGCTGGTGGGGGAGGCTGGGAGGTTCTTCTGGACCACAGACACGTGCCACCTGTCATACATTTCGAAGTACTTGCTTTCGAAAGGTTGTGAGGGAGATTAGCTGTAGATTAGATCCGAAATGAGGAGTAAAAATTAACTGGCATTTAACATCTGAACGTTTAACGAAACGAAATAGAGTCATGGTTATTATTAATAGTAAGAGATGAACGTGTTAGTGAGTGCAATTCGAAATATCCTTTTAATCAAGGAACTACTTTGTGGATATAAGATGTGCGTGATGTAAGATTATCTTAAACGACGACTGTGAAGTGTAAATTGTGAATCGAGACACGGTCTCACGATTTTATTACGATTTCTTCTAATTATCTTAGATTCTCGTTTGAAAGTGCACGAATTCTGTGAACTTTGTCTAAGTCCAATGACATTACCGGCGATGGAGCTTTACCAAAATCGCAGTAAAGTGAACGAGGATATGTACGACTTGCGACGGGCTCCGACGCAACAAGACGTCAAGAAGATCCGCATCGTTGACAATATCTATGAACGCGCAAGAGGAGACCGTGAACGATTCGCGATGTCTCCGGGCAATAATCATCAAGACACAATGGAATATGCGTCGGATTCCAGCAACGGAAGTTACAAAGAAATACACAGGAAACCAATAGAAGGAAAAAATTCGTCACCCGTCGCAGCGTCCAGCGCTTTCACTATTGATAATATTCTTGGTAGGCGCGAGAAGAAAGATGCAGATTTGTCGTCCGGGTTAAACGATTGCGAGGACAGGGAAGAGGAACAGGGAGACGAGAAAATTGAAGACAACCAGTTCATCAGACCAACTGCCATATCAGCGACACGTTCAGGTAAAATATAAGACTGAGGATTTTTACATAAACACATCAGTTCTAATAATTGTACATAAGTTTCATTGTATTGGAATATACAATTAGCATCTGCATATTTTTTTACATATTCGATTTTTTTATAAATAAATAAAATCCAAATATGAATTCCAATTCTATTTCTAAAAAATGTAATCATTTTCTTCAGTTGGATTTATTATATTATAAGTGCTAAGGGAAACGATATCTTTTATAGAAATGAGCCCAGGATTATATGCACCGACAGGATTATCGTATTCCGAAGTCACACTTTCAGATGCTTCAAGCTATTCGGCAACATCTCTTGCCTCTGCATCTATCTTATACAATAGTTGGTTTGCTCAAACGAAACCCGTACAGCTGTTCGGTTTACAAGGTAAGCGCCCTTAGTATCAAATAATTTAAAAAAAGAATCTATGTGAAAAATAAATTCGATCATTTAGAAATCAAGGGTATTATGACACTTTGTTATTTTCGAAATTGCAACTTTTTATACCTTCTTTGAGAACCTCCTAGCGTGGGGGTGTTTCGTTTAGTTACGACAAAAGACTCTAATTATCTGCTCGTAATAACTTATCGGCGTAATTCCATTTTCGCGAACAATGCCGAGAGGAGCAAAATCGTGGCGCTCCTCCGTGGCTCCAAGGGAATATTGGACATTATCCACGGCGCCTGTGATAACAGCTTTTCGACACGCGATCGTCACATTAACAGTTGGGGTGTTGCATCCCCCACATTTCGGTCTGTTACTGGTCAGGTGTAAAACATTTAGTTTGAATGCCAGACGTTTCTAGTTTCACGTATCAAACCATTATAACAAGATCGTAAATTTGTAGACGAAATTAAATAATTAAACAGTTATCGCAGCTTAATGTGAATTCGTAATATGGATTCAGCTTTTGATAATCTGTACAATTTTATACATTGTGTTTACATTCTCTGGACGTTCGATCATAAAATCAGCTGCCTAATTATAATACTTTTCTTGAATATCGTAGACTGTTCCTACGCATCGAATTCTTTTTTCAATTTCGTTATATGTAATTGAGCATCTCGGAACGCGAATAATATTCATCAGAGACTTCAATCCGCCATCGTTGTTCGCGTCTTTCGCTACTATCCGCCATGCTGTTAGGAGCCCATTTATCAACGACGTTGCTCTAACCACCTTCCGGAGATGTGCTAAATGTCTCCGTACACTCGTAAATCTTTGCTCCGTCAGTTTTCTTTCTTCGTCGCAGCGTTCCCTTTTTGGCCAACAGTCTCGGGACTTCTAGGAAACATAGCCAATTTGTACGACCAATTCGTTTCGATCAATCAAAACCAACGCGAGATAGAGGTTCACATTTTTTACACGACTGTTTGTGAATACGTTCTCTTAATATTTGAAGAAATTCATTTTTATTCGCGAATGTAATAAAATGTGTTTAAGACACGTCAATAGAGTTTAAGACAATAGGGGAAATTGTGTACAAAAGATAGAAAGTGAGACATCGTTTGTAATAATGACGCATACTGGAAAGGTTTATGGGAGACTACAAAAGGTCTTGTATAAACATACGACATCTATTTGTTGGCTCAGAATATAAGGGCTAGGTAGCTAACTGGACATCAAACAAGGGAAACGCCTAAAAAAAAAAACGCCTATTCCTACGTGAGGCCTCATCGCGATTTTCAGAATTCGATGATAACCACTTTACCAGAAAACATGGTAACCATTTTACGACTCTGGCAAATGTTAAAAGCTGTGAGTTACAAAGTATCCGAAATGTGTTGTATCTCTAACTTTACTTTTTCGAAATTCCTTATAAAACAAAGAAATCGATTATTCGACGATATTCATTTATAGAAATTGATGTTAAATAAATGAGAGGCTTATTAAGACTAGCGTTGTTAACATCATCATTATTTAATTATTTAGTAGTATTTTACATAGGATTATATAAATATTATAATAATTTTTTTATTATACAAACATAAGCATCTGTAATAGCTTAAATAGCATTATTTGTTTTATTACGACTATAAACCCGAGTGTGAAAACCGTAGGATTGCGATCAGAGCGTTTTCTTTGTGTAGTTTTTTATGTCTGACGACAGTGTCATGTTATCTAAATGCGACTAACAACAGTATAATACCTCATATAACCCCTTGAACGGAAATGTGTGGATCTTCTTTACACCATAATGATAATCGCATCCAAACGTTCCTGGGTATAAACTGTTTGCCTACTTCTTTACCACATTCTGTCTGGTATTGACAGTAAGATGTCACACGTACCTCAAACAGTCCCGCATGTTTTAGACACGCTTGGTAACTCTAGTCGCGGCCCAATAAGCAGGCCGCGCCGGAGAAAGTGGTAATTGAGTACAAGCTGACAAAGTTAGCCGAACAATTAAGAAACATGATTATAATGTTAAATTTTTATTATCGCGGCCGTAAATCTTCGGGAAGGTCCGTCTCTATCGGGTGTCATCTCCTTTAAAGACACTGGCTAATTAATATTTAACTACAGCGGAGGTTCTCGCGGTTGACAGCAAAATTTCGATTCCTCGAAGTTTCGTGACACGTTTAATTGTTTGCTCAGCGCCCAAACCCAGTGGGAGACGGTCCAGAAAGCCGGGAATTGATCGGAAACCACGACAGGCGTACAGCGCGAAGCAACTCGAGAGGCTCGAAGCAGAATTCAAGGTAAATTATTAAACAAATTTTTAGGCATTCTGATAGTCTATCCTTCATGTTAACTATTTTACGATGTGTGTCTTCTGTTTTATTATTTACTGGTTGAAAAATTCAAAATTCCGAATATCGTTTTTACGCTCGTCGTTTAATCAGACAAGTACATAGTTAGCTCCTTAATTTTATTATGAATTGCAGGTACACGAAAATATGTATGACGTAATCTACATATGTCTAATTCCTGAGCTGAAATAATTTTTTCAAAATTACAGTCCTAATAAATTATAAACAATGATTTTATTTTTATTATTCTTTTCAGATCGACAAATATTTGAGCGTGAGTAAACGAATGGAATTATCCAAGTCGCTAAACTTGACGGAGGTACAAATAAAGACCTGGTTTCAAAACCGTCGTACCAAGTGGAAGAAGCAACTTACCTCCAGATTGAAGATCGCGCAGAGGCAGGGGTTGTTTCCACCCGCATATTTCCCACCGGCTCAGTACCCTCTGCTGCCATACTACACCGCACCCCTTGTGTTTGGGCCACCGGCGTCAGATGACGCCAACCTGACCCCGACGGCGATACCGTCCGAACCAGTAGTATCGTCGCCTGATACTGTCTGAGCAGATATCGACTCGAACTACTTGGCCGACGCGAGTCGCGCGCGAAGTGTGCAATCGAAATGAAAACGCTATTCCCCTAAGTTTCAACGTTTCTCGTGCAAAGATATAATCGAAGTGTAACGTACGTTTACTTTAAGCAATTCTCATTAGGTGGACTATTGTAAAATACGAGTTCAGTTTACCAGAAATGCATGAGATAAAAGATCTATGTACATACATAAACTACGCATAGTAATAAAACTAATTAAAGAAAATCTTTTTATCCTCTATTTTCAATTCTCAATATTCTCTCAAAGGTGTTGTAAAAATTATTTTACATATTGATTGACACTCGTGTCTACGAAGTTTGCAACGTTATTACACGACGCACATAGATCTTTATTAAATCAGGAGAGACAGACCTTCTTTGATCATTATTTTATTTGACTTTTCCCGAAACAGGCTTGTGCATTTGCTGAGAACTTTCGTCAACAATTAGAGTCAGTTTCAAACTTTCGTTCAACATTTCGTTTCCGAGGCACGAAACCGAATATCCAATTTTGCATGAGACAGACTTCCAAACTTTTAAAGTGCAACGAGTAGTGTTTATTTCACGTATAAAAAGAGTCAAAGTATACATTAATTATGTAAATCACTGTGTCCTAGTATGTTCCCGTACGCAGCGTTCAGGCCTTCCCTTGCATTGTACATTACGCCGTCTGTCAGTCTCGCAACTGACGGTTCGCACTTTGGGAAATGTGAGCGCTTTTAATTTCGGAATAATCGTATAAAGTCTTCTGATTCTCAATTTGCCTCTCTTGGTTCTCTTCTTGGCGGGCTGCGTACCTATGTCGCGCATTCTCACCTTGACCGACGACTGTACAGTCCTGACATGTGCCTCTGGACTGCAACTCTTGTCAACCGTCAACGCCTCTTTGGTAGTCGCTTGGATAGACATATGAAATTTTTCCACTTTAGACATAGCTGCCGCGAGTGCCATCGTATTTTTAGCGCAGAGATAGCAACAACTCTTCGTAAAGTCTACTCCACCAGCAGCAACAGCCGCTGCAGCATCTTTGATCGCTTCTTGACTATCTTCTATCCGAATAGTAGGCACCCGGGAATCCGGAAGATCTCTCTCTCGTCTTCTTCTTCTTTTACCTCTCTTCGGATCTTCAGAGATATCGATTTTTTCATCCCAAACACGTCTCTCTGTCGAAGGCTCGCCTACCTCTGGAAGTCTGCCCTCGTATTGTCTCGTCGAAACATCGTCTTCTTTGCCGAACGTAGTTCTTTTCCTTTTCTTCTTCTTCCTCCTATGATGTCTTTTGCATCTATCTTTTAGTCGTCTGCAAAAATTGTTCTTCTTTCCGTGCACTTGAGATAATTTAGTCCTCTTTTTCCTGCAACATTGGGCGCACCACCTGTAAGCCCTTTGCCATATCCACGGTTTCTTGTTCGTAGGATTCGAGCTGGAATTGGTGACTTGTCTTCGTCTACGAGGATTCCCGGGATTGCCCGGATTGTCTGGATTGTTCGGAGGATTGCTTTTACTTTCCGATCTTGACTGCGCTGTTACGAGATGAAATTAGTATATATTGACGGGAGGAGGACAGAGTCAACTTTGATACAATAGATTTACTTGTATCGTACTCGGATGGATCCGGCGTTTGTGCACCCCTAAAACTAGTCCTCCGTTCTCCGGTGTTTGAGAAGTGTTTCAGGCTGTGATTCATACTTGCAAATCGATTTACTGACATTGCCTCCGTTGAATTGTACGGTGTAAGCATTTTCCCAATTGCCCGTAATTAATCTCATTAAGTTAAGCTACACTTGCGATGAGTACGAATATTTAAGTTCCGTAAAATTTAATTAACATCTGACAGCAAATGAAAATGTTACGATTTTTCTTTTATATAGAAGAATAAATCTGTCTTACTTTGGATACTCATGGACGAGTTTGTTTCGTTATTAATAAAAACTGAGGTTATTATTTGTAATGTCATTGTGATGCCATTTGTATTTTTTAAATATTTTTGATAGTATCATCGATTTAATATAATATGTTTGAATGGATGATGGATCTCAGAGCATAGTGGAAGCTGTTAAAATTTGAGACATTTTGAAACTTCCAGTCTCGAGGAAAGACAGGAAGTCTATCAACTATATAAACATAAAGTCTTCTAAATTAATTTTCACACGTTCACATTGCAAAATAAAATTGTCGTAATCGAATGATATCGCCCTCTCCTGGTACAACATCAAATAAATATAACATTTTATATTATTATCATTTTCAATGTAGAATCAAACCAAAGCCGGCTAAATTCTAATTAATAAATTAATAGAAACGAATCTTAGAATTTTTATTTCTCAATTCTTCCTCATTCTCTATTATACTCGCCAGCTATGAATATCATGCATTGTATCCCTCCTTTAAAATGACTTTTATGAACGACACATGTTCAGTGAGGAAAAGGAATAAGCAAAGGGTGAATAATTGTAAATAATAGTACGCATATAAATATTATATTTAATTTCTCTTGGTTTAGATACATTCAAAGTTTGCCGCGGTTGAAATTCTACCGGTAGATGGCAGGACGTGAGGGTGAACACGTCATGGACCTGAGCGATGGCAGGACTGTCAGTTGGCGACGGTGGCGACTGGCCGACGTCGTGTGTGTATTTTGTTGCTGGTGCGATGCGTCTGCGAAATCTCGATTCATCTCTCGAAAGAGTCTGAGAAAAGGGAAAACGGGTCAGCTGTTACGAGGTTCGTGAGTCAGAGGACACAAGCGAGTAGCGGAGACGTGATTGAAACGCAGCGTGTGGAGGGAACAAAGGGCTCGAGGGCGAACGAATAACCGTGGAGGAAAGAAGAAAGTTTACGAGGGGCGGATCGTCGGTGGTAAGGACCGTCCGCGTGTATAAGTGGAATTATAATATCGGTGGTAAACGATGGCGTAAGCTCCGCGCAACCCCGAGACACAGTGCAGTGTGACCCGTGTGCCGTGGCCGTCCGTCATCTTTTCGTTGATTCGGCCCCGTACAATCCGACGCGTATAACTCGGCTGCTCCGAAACTCGCGCGCGCCAACAACGGAACGCGTTTATAACGTAACGCCAGTGGAAAACACGGCCGAGTGTGTGCTATGCTATCTGGTTGCTACCCAGTCTTTGTGGTGAATACACGGCCGACATCGGTCCGCTTCCGATCACGAGGTTGATCGCGTATATACGCGCGCCAACGTCGTTCCTCGTCGGTTCTTGTCGGTACGCGTTTCCCTGTGCGTCCTGTCTGGCGACTGTCGTCGGCGACTCGTCGCTCCGGAACCACTGCATCCCCGCGTCGCCGCGTTGTTGTTTTTGTTTATTGTTGTTCGCGCGTATCCGCGAAGTGGTGCCAAGATAGCGGCCTCTCACTGTGGGAGAGAATATGGTTACGATGATCAGTGATACGTGCGGATATGTTCTCTTTCTCCTGTTGCTGTTGCTGGTCCCGTACATCGAAAGTGGTAAGTGCACGCTTATTTTCGTATTTACGTCACCGGGTGCAATGTTCGAGCATCATTTCGACGCGTTACCGTAAACCGTTATAATCGTCTATCAATAGATTGCCGCGTTTTATGCAGGAAAGTGCACGGCTTGCACCTGTGCGTAGCTTATTGTCTGTCTCGTGAAATGTGCTGCTGGCTCGATGTCATATGCATACGCTGTCTATCTGTGCACTCGTACGTGCCTATGTATATGTGTGCATCCGTCTTTACGTCCCATGAATCATCCTTTCACGAAGAGCGTGTCTCGTATTTCCCTGTGATGCTTTCGGAGCAAAGGCATGTGCACTTTTTTCGTGTTCAACTGTCCATACGCTCTTTCTCCTACTTAAAAATTTTATTACACCTATATTATTCCCTTATCTCGTATTGAAACGTGTTTATATGATTTATAAGGGAATGTAATAATTAAATTACGGAAACAATTGTTAACTTCATTCATATTGACAGAGACAGGGAATCTGATTGTTCAGTGAATGAGTAATTCTCATACATTATTTTATCAGTTTAATTATTTTTGTAAATAAAAGTGTATAACAATAAGTTATAGATAAAATTTGGGAAAGGTAAGTAATACTAGTTCATATTATATTGAAGGTATATAAAGCAAATGCAGAAGTATATTCGTGTTTTATCTACAAGTCTTTAGATTGGAATACGGATTTCCGTTCTATTTCCAAGAAAGAAAAGACACAATTGGACGGGTAAATTTCGTGATTCATAATTTCGCTGAAACCAGAGATAATGCACCTTTGAAAGTCTATACCGTAGTGTATACCCCGCGTATACCATTTCCTGTTATTATTATTTAACCAATTAATGTACGTGAACGCGCATCCTAGCCAAAATCATGAATCTTCATTCAGGCTTTTCCGAGCCTAAATCAACGAAGAATTTTTGCGTTCCATCAAGTAAGAGAGATCCTCTTCTCCGGAGTAGGTAAATCATAAAATTGCCTCTGCCGGAAGTCCCAATTAGGGACCAGTGGCTGATGTAGGTGATAGTTACACACCAGCGTGTGTGCGCTGCTGTTATCTATTTAAAACTAAAAGTGAGTAAGATAAAAACTAGAGCGCGAGGAGACTATACTGTTTTTACACATTTGCATTTTGTGATGGATCCAACTTTCGCATTACAATATTTAAACTAGTAAAGTATGTAATTCTTGTTCCATAGGAATCTCATATGTTATTGACATTAACAATAATTTTCTGTTTTGAAAAACTGCTCATTGTACAAATTTGCGATAAAATTATTCTTTATTTAAATTGAAGAAATTGTAAATAGAATTTGCACGGAGTAGATGCTTGACATATTTACAGCAATCTTCGGATTTATGACCATGAATTCTTTCCACCAATTTTTGGAAGTGCTCGTTTCACACAAATCTCGAGTCTTTTTATTTTTCTCTATTATTGTCGTGGTCACACAGTCAAAACTGTTTACTTTTATTCATGTTGCACGCTTGAATGATGCGCAATTGTAGGAAATTCACCTTTTGCGAGATACATATGTGTGGTGAAGCCCGGTTCCGATCGGTGGGCATGTATTCTGAGATTACTATTATATGGAAATATAAATGATAATGTTCGGTGTATGGAGCTGATAACATTATTAAGCGCAGTATGATACGTTATCAGTTAAATGACTTTCATGCATATGAGAAAGAGGCTGGTTTTAATTTATAGTACTCGTTGACCCTGAAGAAAGAATTAGTGGGTAATATACAAGTCTGTCAGGTGTAAATTTCAAAGTAAATGAAATATGTGAGTTTATGCTGCGTTAAACTTCTGGAGCACACCTTGACCTTACTTAAGTACTGTACATGGTAGCTGGTAGTCAAGTAATAAAATAGGGTTAATGTACTCAAATAAAAAGTGGGCTGTTATCCATGCAACAAAGTTCTTGTTCAGAGGCTCTTACGTACGCATGTACACATTTTAAAAGATGAACTGACTCGTAATAGACTTACAGGAAGTACTTGAACGTTTCGAGCAGTGAAATATACGCGTGAAATAAATCCGTGTAAAATAACCTAGTTTAAATGCAAGATGAATCCGAGCCCATAAATTTTGAGAATGGTCGCTCGATAAAATATCAAAGGAAACGTCCCTTCGCTTTCGTTGTCGCGATTTGTAGCCGCGTTTCTTACAGTGGCTTCCGTCGAGTAAAGGGAAATGAGTTATCGCTATCGCTGAATATTATTCTGGGAATTCTCATTCGCGGAGAAAGCGTGAAACCGAGTAAAAAGTCACTGCGGTCGGCGCAATGCAGCCGGAATATAAAGATGCAGTTAGCTCTGATGGGTAGGTCATTTCGTTGCCCTGCCCCGGCCGTATCTCAAGGACAAAGGATCAATTTTTCTTTCACGAAACTTTTCAATTCTTCAACGGACCTCGGCTCCTGCCTGATGGCCGCAGAAAGGGCCGAGGCAACTTCGGGAAATCTTCAAGCGGCGCACGTTGCGACTATCTTCATATATTTTATACCCAGAAACTGCGTTCGCCTCCGGAAAGCGTTCGGTCGAGAGCTGAATAATATGTCGTGATTTTCATGAAATTTCGTGTACCATTCTCCACGCAGTCTAGTTTTGGTTGCCCATCGAATTTCGTGGCGATTTGAAAACCCGTTGCATAATTTAGATTATGCAAATGGTAGGAAACGTTAGTATCGTGTCTCGTTTTTTGTATATGTACAATTCAAGGGGATTATGCATCGTTTCTTTCAATCATTCAGCATATTTGGAAAGTTGGTGGTTACGGTGATAACTAGAAGATTGATTAGATATTCGTACTGTGTAGCTGTTTCCAAAGTAAGTTTAGGATACAAGTTCAATAGTAGATCCAGCAAGTTAGCTAACTTCAGCTTCCGTTTTCTAATTTAATCAGCCTAGTAGTACATCGTGCTTATCTTTCCTTGCGTGTTGAATTTAAGATTATCATTATCTTGTCGTAATATGCTTTTCTAATCCATATTTTGTATGTTAATACAATATTAGTTGAAATCGAGAGCTATCGTGGCTCTGATTCTGAATCAAAATTAAACAGTTGATTTTATAGAATATTTTATAAAAGACACTTTATTTCCTTTTATATTTCCTTTCTCTTGGATCAGATTTTTGCTGCTTCCGGCTTGTTTCACCGTTGGCTGTATTTATAGAATTTCGGATCAGTTCGTCGGTCATGCTTGCATAATCGAAATAGAAATTCGGAACTGACGTTGAAAAATATCCTGTGGAAACCGGTCGCGGTAAGGTCAATGCTTTCGTGCAGGTTCTAGATTCGATAGACACGGCCGTGAACACTGCTCTCACAACGCGCGGCGCGAACGGATTCGCAACGGAAACGTGACGAAACAGTTGTTATCCAGTTGTTGCATCACTTTTACCTCGTTGGACTTGTTCCTTTCGGTCTGCGCGCTATGCTGCTTCATCATCCAGAGACGCATGTGGAGAAACGAAAGTCCAAAAGAGATATAGAATACTCGTAGATTATAGATTTGCATGTTTGCATCGAATACGAAATTTCTATTTGATGTTATTAAAATGATTTCACCGTAGGAGTGATATCGTGGGTATTCATTAAGTCTCGATGAATGCTCCAATTATGGTAGCGTTGCGTTTACGAGGAAACGATAAGATAACGATGAAAAAGGAACCGATACCGAAGGAATCTGTACATACGTATGTACATATTGTGCATACATATGTGACCGTGAGATCAGTTCTCAACTTTTCAAGCAGATGGTTCACAATTATTTCTCTCCTGGCTCTTTCTGGCTAAGTGGATACTGTCACTCTCCCCTCATACAAACAAGACCATGGCACACCGCCACATGTTCCCAGGTCTGAACCAGATGTTCCTATAACGAAGGGTACGGACAGTTTAGGCTGCGTAAATCTGAAATTAATAGACCCTGCAGGCAATTCCTCTTTACTAGATTCTGTTACAACGATTTCCCTTTATGGGAAAATGATAATTGGATTACATTCAATAAAATGATGTTGTAAAAATATTTATTACACGCAGCAGCGTTGAGCAAACACCTTTGTTTCTGGATGCACAATAATTAGAGCATCTCAAGGAGGCTGAAGAGGCTCGGCGTTGCCTAGAATGTTTAGTAAGATGAACTTTCGGTGGAATTCGGTAGTAGGGGTGCGCGAGGATCCCCGAGAATTCAGAATTCCCGAATCAAGGGGATCTTATCTCTAAGGTATTCCATGTTCGAGGATATAGGTGGTCGCCCCGAAACTTTCTACTCGGCATTCCTGGCACAACCGCGCTATTCGGCTTGGCTCAAGGAGCCAAGAGGGTTTACCCAAGGATATGCAAACGCGCGCGATAGTTCACCACCATGCCAGGTTGTATGGTCTTTTCGAGATTTCATGTTCCTCCTCTCATGGGTCATGCTCGTACAAATCTCGCAGCGCTCCTTAATTCCGTCGTTAGTAAAAAAAAAGCCAAGGCTTCTATTCGGGGAAGCCTGAAAACTCGGCTCGAGGTACCGCTTCGTCGTTTCTTACGTGGAACGAAAACGGATAAGGAGAAAAAGAGATAACGGCGTCTCGGAGGATGATATCTTCGAGTCGCGTTTCCAGTTCGTAGAGTTTTCGTTATCTTACGTCGATGGACGAGGAGCAGGTCCAGCTGAAAAGTTTTCGATTGGGAAGCTTCCGTAGACGTGCCATATTTTTGACTCTGCCGTGGCCGACGACGGAACAGACCAAGTTATCCGTGTCTCGTTAATCAGAACATCTGATTTACCGTTTGTTAGAGCCAGCGAGTTTCCAGGAAAACACGTAACCATTCTCCCTTTTTTCGATCTCTCTCTTATAGTTGTCAAGTTTTAAAAGAGAGGTCAGATGTCCCAGACTTGGTAAACGAAAGTCTGAAACTTTGTTTTTATTATTGAGTTGTTTTCAAGCAAATTGCTTTTCTTCTGTTGCGAACATTACGTTCACC